AATCCCATCCCTTCCTCGTCCACGCCACGGCAGCGGGTTAAATACCAGCTTGGCATTTGATGGTGACCTAAATCCTTTTCTTGTTCAGTCGGAGCTAACTATGTAAACCAAGGACGGAAAGGCCGCGGCCGCAATGAAACAGCGGTGGTTACAGCGGAGCAACAAAAACAGGTCAGCTGACCACCGGAACTGGGCCGTTCGATGGCACCTGCATACCTCAATCACCGGGTATCGAAGCACACCGCAGCCAAAGGCCCACCGGTCCTGCACGCACTGTCAGCGGAGGGGTGGGGTGAGGGCGAGCCCCCACTGGGGAGGGGAGGGGCACGGTGTGACGCGTCGTGCGGTCGCCATGGAGTGGTCAGGGGTGGCGGTGTGGGGAGCCGCGACTGAGGCCGGTCGATGTCGTATACCTGGGGTGGATCTACATTGTTGTGTTTGCTTTGAACAACATGGCAGAAATAGAACGAGTTCTGAGAAGTGAATTGAATTTTCTTGGTACTGCTGCTGCCATATGATTCACTTCATAGTGATGGTGCATCCGACAGATATTGATAAAACAATGACGAGGGGTGCCTCAATGGTGTTCAAGTTTCCGATGCTACAGCTGCGCTACTGAGTAATGTAATGATTAGAAGAATAATACCTACAGGAAATTAACTGTCAAGTACAACTCCAGCGGCCAACAGTGCCTTTGCTGGGGTCAATGGTTGGTACATGTTCACTAGCATCCAGATCACTGAGGACAATCGTCGCTAAAACTCGCTGGAACGTCGGAGGTATTGCGCAATCACATTGGTATGTGCTTACAGTAAAATATTTTCATTTTTATCTCGACCTGCATCGTGCAGAAACTTCTTGTTTTTGTCCCTTTAACACGCGCACTGCAGGTGGGGTTGTTTTCAACCCCCCCTGTGGTTTTTCGCAAATCGCGAGAAAACGGCGGCGCGTAGCGCCGCCAAATTTTGCAAACCTGTTCTCCCAACTTTTGCACACCTTGAGTAAAAATTTTGACCCCAGGTGACCTATGGTCAGGTCACCAGGTCAGGTCAAGTGACCCTACCTCGAAACGTAAATTTCGAAGTTTGCAATCCCACCAAGCCCACAGTTGTTGAGATATGATCTTGAAACCCACAGGAAATAGTAAAGTCATCACGAGCTACAACTTGTATATCTCGGAATTTTTATATCGATGACCTAAGGTCAGGTCATTTTTGCGACCGGCCCATTATAAGTCAATGGGAGAAATTTTAACTTACTCTGAATGCCATCCTATGACTTCAATACGCTCAGGATCATAGTACCAGTAAAACGCCTTTTGGGCGAAGGACGAGCGAGCGAGATAGTGAGCCCTGCACGTGCAGAAGGGCGAGAGGGTACTTTCAACGGGCTTGTGCAAAGCACCCTTCTAACCGGTCGCTAGCAGTGTACCAAATTTGAACGCAATCGGCCCAGCCGTTCCTGAGATCTGGAAGCGGCATTCTGCACGTGCGCACGTGCAAACGGGGTCCAAAATGACTTTTGCACTGCACCCTACTAACCGGTCCCCAACCGTGTACCAAATTTGAGCGCAATCGGCCCAGCCGTTCTCGAGATCTGGAAACGCCCCCTGCACGTGCGCACGTGCAGTAGCACCCTAACCGCAACACATGGAAATGCACTGCCTGGTGGGTGCCTACCTGTATGCCAAGTTTCAGCGAAATCGCCCCAGTAATTACCGAGTTACTGAAATGGGAACAAATTTGGCACCTCTTATTGTTGTATTTTGCACGTGCAGTGGGGGTCACTCACATAGATCAAGAGTATCCGACCTTTGGTAGAAGGGATGCAGCTACCTTATAAAAATGACCGCAAGACAATCGCTCAAGCCGCTGCTGAGATATGGGCCTCTCAAAATCACTACTTTTGGAAAACTGCTTGAACACCCTTGACTTTTCACGTGACACGTGCCACGGCGGTCACTGAGATGTATCAAAAGTAGTCAATTACGGGGTAGAAGGGATGGGGCTACCCAGCAAAAAAGACCGCAGGCCATTCGGTCCAGCGGTTGCTGAGATATAACCCGCGCCCCACTGGGGGGGGGGGCTATTTATAGCCCCCCTCCCGTTTTTCTGCAATAACTTCCAAACCGCTTGACGAATCGACGCCAAACTTTCAGTACCTTCGGCTGCATCAATTTGACACCTTGTGTCAAAATTTGAACTTCGTAGCTACCATAGGTCGGCCGGAAATGACGTCAGAGTGACGTCATTTTCGTCCGATTTCGACGCAAAACATTGAACCACGGCAATCGCTCCCAAGAGCTCAGTTTTTAAGCTAGATCCAATTTCTTTGCATGAAAGGACTCAGAATTGACCGCGCTATCAAACTGCCATCTCGGATTTTCAAAACTTTGAAAATTTCGAAAATTTTATATAATAATATTCAAAATTTATATTTTTATATTTTTTTCAAAAAGTTTTTGACTTTTCGAAAAAACCGGAATATATGTGACAGAACGCATGATTATGACTAACTCTAGCAAGTTTTAGCTAAATATCTTCAAAAATGGCCAAGTTATACGGATTATTGCAAAAAATTCACAATTATTAATTTTTCAAATCAATTTTTCAGTACGTATTTGACATCGTACACCAATATAAATGGCACCATCGTGTTCCTGAGCTCAAACTGCATCCAATAGACACCTTTTTTGTTGAAAAATTTCAACTTCAAAATTTGACCTTTTTTGACCTGAAAGTGACCTGACCTAAGCTAATTTCGACTCAAAATGACCTTGAATGACACACACGACATCAAATTCGAAATCTATGGCCTAAATGGACCATAAAACATGTGTCATGTGACCGACGCATGATATAATATTTTCGTGACCTGTGATGACCTGACCCTGACCTGAAAATCAAAGTACAAGTTTGGTACCCTCAAGGTATTTAGAGCATCTGTTCACGAGTGTGGAAACCAAAAATGAGCCTGATCTGACTTGTAAGACGGCGGCCAGAGCCCAAAATGTGAACAAGCCAAAGTGCTAATAATTTTTACTTTGACCTGACCTGTGACGTCATCGGTGACCTCGAGGTCAATGAAATTAGGTTTCGCTCGACAGTTTTTCCGGGGCTATCAGACGCCGTTTGAATTTTGACGATCGGCCCAGTAGTTTCGGAGTTAGGAGGGGGGGCTATGAATAGCCCCCCCCCCAGGAGGGCGTGTTATACACAGACCCCAGTGGGGCGCGGGATAAGCCTCTCAAAAGCGTTACAGGCCGGGCCGGGCCGGGCCGGGCCGGGCCGGGCCGGGCCGGGCCGCTCATACTGAGATTTTTCCGTTATATTGAAAAGACTCACTTCGCTCGCTGCGCTCGCTCGCTCGTAATTACAGGTCCCTGTTGGTGATTTCACCGAAACATATCACTTATGACCTTTGGATGGTGATCTCCAGGTCATCTTGGTCACCTGAGGTCACCAGCGGGTTTTCTTCAATAACTTGAGATTGAATAGAGATAGAGACTCCGTTCGACGTTTATCGTGTTTTTCTCGTCAATGCGGATCGAATGATATGCAACATGACCTATTTCGGTCAGGTCATGACCTTGACCTGAGGTCAAATTTTCAACTTGACCTTTCGAGGTCATATTATATATCATTCGATGCGCCTTGACGAGCTAAGAACGATGGCGTTCGAATCGATCCTCTGTCTTGTGTGCAAGACAAGTTATTCAAGAAAAACTACCGCGAAATTCCTGTTGTGAAAATCGTAACATTTTGTCTTCGGTGACCTCTGGTGACCTCGTTTTTGACCTGACCCAAAAATGATCTTTGTATTTCTTGTAGATCTCATCTCAACCTATCCAACGCCGTTTACCGCTTGTCGCTACGTTGCGCCGTTTTCGAGATCTCAGGGGGGGTTGTTTTCAACCCCCCCCCCCCTGCAGTTCGTGTTCGGCTCAGACCCGCTGCAGTGCGCGTGTTAATGCAGTGGTGCCAATCATTGCAAAACACAATGCCTTTTTCCGTCCAAAAATGCGGAAGCGAACCTGTTTTGGCACTTAATAATTAATCGATGCCACTCTGTCACGTCACCCACCGCCACCCCTGACCACTCCATGGCGACCGCACGACGCGTCACACCGTGCCCCTCCCCTCCCCAGCGGGGGCTCGCCCTCACCCCACCCCTCCGCTCCCCAGCGCGGGTGCTCGCCCCTCCCAACCCCTGACCCCTCCGCTGACAGTGCGTGCAGGACCGGTGGGCCTTTGGCTGCGGTGTGCTTCGATACCCGGTGAGTGAGGTATACAGGTGCCATCGAACGGCCCAGTTCCGGTGGTCAGCTGACCTGTTTTTGTTGCTCCGCTGTAACCACCGATGCTTTATAACCGTGACGGCGACTTTTCCGGCTTCTGTTCATTTATTTCGTCCAATGTTGCGGTATTATCTTCAGATGGGTGGATTTGACGCATACGGCACTAAATGGCGAATTATAACTTAGTTACCAGCGACTCGCTGCAGTAACGAGGGGTAACACTTTTATTCCCCCTGCATTACCTTTGCATAGTTTATGCACGGCATACAATTTAAATTGTATTTATCACTAGACTGAGGCAAAACCTATTCACACTTAAAGTCACTATACAATTACACCGAAACAGGCACCGTTAAATATGTACACTTTCCCACACGCATGAATGACAAACAGCCTGAGTAAAACTATCCCTAACTCACGATGTATGAAATTAAATAATATATGTTGCTATCATGTGCAGTACCCGTCATCACATTGCTGTGAGGCGCATTGCAAGTCATCAGTACAGTAGAAATCTGTCTGCAATACACCAGCCAAACACCGCAAGACGCCCTCTCCATCCTGCAGACACCGCCAGCTTCGGCACTGGGCGTTTAGGGCGAGTGAAGATAGCGACGCCGGGCCGCACTCTTCGCCGTTGTCTTTCAGCTGTGGCGAGCACATCCCTCGGAAGCACCGCCCCGACAGGCACCCCTCGTCGAAGTCACATCCCATTCCGTTCGGTAGTCGTGTTGGCGACATCACCGATGTTACTGACGAACGTGGCACCGGTGGAGGTGTTGGCGCCTCTGTCGGGGGCGGTCGTGGTTGACAGACTATGTCACAAAAGTTGGACAGACACTGCACGTCGTCCGAGCACCTCACGTTGTTCGGGCGCCGTCGGAGGCAGCTGTTGCCGTACAGGTCTCGGGAGCAGTACTCGAGCGGTCCGCAGCCGAGCTCAGTCATTGGCTGCGGACACTGGTCGCTGAAGCAGAGTCCCGAGCGACAGGCACCGGACTGACACGCCTGGTCGGAGTCGCACCGCGCGCCGCGCGCCAGTCTCTCGGAGCAGACGTTACCGCGCAGTGTCGGCTCGCAGAACTGGTGATGCAGACATTGCCCGACACCAAACGGCTTCCTGCACTCGTGTCGGACGCAGCGTCCCCAATCGCAGAGGTGCGACAGGCAGTGCGCGTCACTGCCGCACATGTCACCGTCCCGCAACTGCGGACGGCACGCATTTCCCGTCGGACCCGAGGCGCAGAACTGCCCTGGGTCGCAGTCCTGTGTCGAGCCGGGCTCGGGGCAGCGGTCCAGTTTGCAGCGCCCATCGCGGCAGGCTCCGCCGAGACACTGCACCGAGAGGTCACACTCTGTGCCGACACCCCTCCGCGGCGCGCAGTGGTGGTCACGATCGCAGTACTGGCCGGTCGGGCAGCCGGTCAGGGTCAGGGCCGAAGGGCAGGTGTCATCCCTCGGACGGCATTTGTAGCTGCCTTCTGATGATATGCATTGCTCACCTCTGGGGCAGGCCCGACCGCCGTCACCGCCTGGCAGGCACTGGTCCTCCACACAGCGGTAGCGGTAGCACGAGCCACTCTGGCACTGGTCGCTCTGAAGACATGGCTTACCCTGACCTGACTTAGGCACGCACGAGTAGGCCAGAGAGCAGACGTATCCGACCGGGCATCCTGCGTCAGATAAGGGCGCCTTGCAGCCTGAGCTCTTGGAAAAGCGCCTCTTTTTGACGATGTAAATCGTTGGTGATTCAGGCTTGGTCTGTGTCACGGCAGTGACAGCACTTCTCAGCAATGCCCAGTTGCGGATGGCGCCGCTGTTAGACGGGGAAAGCTCCCTGCTATGACGGTTGACGGGAACGCTGCCATCCTCCGTGGTTCCAGAACTGGATGAAGATGACGTTATAACACAAAACACGAGCACGAGAATGGCCGGTAGGTGCATGACAAGGGTGACGTTACGGCCACAGGATGCGAAAAAGCGTATTAGTACTGGGCTAGTCTGGAGCAGCGCGATTTGTAGAGTGCGCGGTGCGCACCAATAGACAAGTGCAGTCCTTCTGCAAACGACAGTGAAATATATAGCGAAATCAGCGCACACATCCTGTCACGATGATCGACCAAGAATCCTGGGTCAACCGACCTCACCCAGTTATTCTCATTGTTGGCTTCTCGGCTTGATTTATACCTGTTTCTTCCAGTTTCCGTTTCGCCCTCCAGTAGATCGCGTCACTGACCTCGTGTTCTCGTTAACCAGATTGAATTGCAGCGTCGCTACCGGTTTTCTTCCGCTACTGACGATGCAGCTACGAGTATAAGGTATGCGTGTTTCGTGATAATTGGCAGCGCGTGCAGAAAAACAAGAACATTTGTAGGTCGACCTAGAAATGCATACATAATTAAATTCACATCGTATCTTTGGAAAAAACCTAGTGCAGTCGTCAGTCGTATAAAACTTGTTCCGTTGCCCTAGATTCAAAACTTACATGCGATAAACTGTCTCAGAAACATATCGCTTTATGTAGGGTAGCCTGGGGCAAGACGCCCCAGATAATTTATTTTGCCACATAAATTTTGTCCCACATCACCTGAAAGGCCAAATTTGTGCTCAATGCGTTCTTTGGACATTTTACTTTAAATTGCACCCCTCAAATTGATTCACTTATGATCGGACTCCAAGCTAGGAAGTGATTTGTGAAGCAACTGCAAATGGGGCATTTTGCCCCAACCCCAGGGCAAAACGCCCCACGGCCTGGGGCAAGTAGCCCCATACCTTAGATTGAAGATTTAACATGGTAGTTGGCTAAATCTTATGTGAGAGGTCCGTTAGACCTCTGGAGGCACGGCACTGAAGTTAGCACATTCCATGCTGTCAGGTGCTCAGCATATGACACTGTTGTATGAGCAGGTTTTTCACCTACCTCATAAGACCAAATAATAAATTATTGCAATGCAAATGTTAACAAAATACTTCCTTTGCCATCCAGTTGCTGAGAAAAATACACATAAAGGCACAGAAACTTACTGTTCGCCAGCTACCGAACATTAGAAAGTGGGTAGCCCCAACAACACAAGAGGTAAAACGCCCCAGGGGCTTTTTGCCCCGCGACCTACTGGGGCGTTTTACCCCATCACGTAGTTCGGTCAGAGAACAACGCCTTGCACTTCAGTAAGACATAATTTAACACGAACCAACCCGGCATGATAAGCGTTAGACAATAGTTGTTCAAAATACATAAAAGTCGTTAACCTAATGTGGACCATAAAAGAACGCCATGATTCATAATCTGACAACAAAACATAAAAATCACTCAAAAAACACATTTTTGGCTATATCTCCCGAAAGAGTCATCACAATTTCTTTCCAGTCTGCTCATATAATGATCATATAGTGCACATTTTATAGAAGAGATGATGTTTCCCCAGAACCCTGCCAGTTCCGAGAAACATCGGTGAGGCGTTTTACCTCGGCGGGGCGACTTGCCCCGGTCTACCCTATCTATTCAGAATATTGCAGCATACACCACCAAAGTGATCAGAATAGTGGTTGATGTATGGCGCATTTGAAGACCATTTTGATGGCGTGTCCAGCTCGATGGGCGCTGAAGCAACACTCACGGATCTCCGAGTACAAGTACCTATACTCACATCCTCCATTCCTCCCAAACCTTATCATTAGCGTTGCAGTGGCGGTCGCAGGGGGGGGCCATCAGGGCCATGACCCCCCCCAAAGGCAAATCAGGGGGGGCCATCATATCATTTGGCCCCCCCCCAAACAACCGATGGGCCCCCATGGCCGTATGGGGCCCTGGCCCGTATTCGATTGTCACGAGGCTCGAGAAACCCACGCCAGCCATTAACAGCTCCCATACCAGTCTTTGAGGGTCCTACACTGACCTCTGAGGGCCCTTCAGTGGCGGTCAAGCGTCCACATTGACCGCTGAGGACCCACATTGACCTCTGAGGGCCCTCCACTGGCCTTTGAGGGCCCCTAAACCGGCCTCAGGGGCCCAACCGGCCTCTGGTGGCCTCATTTCTGTCTCTCGTCTGAGGGCCCCGCACTGGATTCTGAAGACCCGATGTCGGCCTCTGGGGCCCATCTTGGCCGTTGAGGGCCCTCCGCTGGTCTCTGGGGTCCAACGCCGGCCCATGCCGGCCTTTTAGGGCCCCACACTGACCTCTAAGGGCCCCATGCTGGTCTGTAAGGACCCACATTAGCCTCTAAGGGCCCCCCGCACTGGATTCTGAAGACCCAATGCCGGCAGCTCAGGGCCCGCATCGGCGTCTGAGGGCCCATCTTGGCCTTTGAGGGCCCTCCGCTGGCCTCTGGGGTCCAACGCCGGCCCATACCGGTCTTTTAGGGCCCCACATTGACCTGAGGGCCCCATGCTGGCCTGAAAGGACACACATTAGCCTCTATGGGCCCCGCACTGGATTCTGAAGACCCGATGCCGGCCTCTAAGGGTTCGCATCGGACTCTGAGGGCCTATCTTGGCCTTTGAGGGCCCTCTGCTGGCTTCTGGGGTCCAACGCCGGCCAATGCCAGTCTTTTAGGGTCCCATTCTGACCTTTGAGGGCCCCATGCTGGCCTGTAAAGGCCCACATTAGCCTCTGATGGCCCCCCGCACTGGAATCTGAAGACCCGATGCCGGCCTCTAACGGTCAGCATCTGCTTCTGAGGGCCCATATTGGCCTTTGAGGGTCTTCTGTTGGCCTCTGGAGACCAACGCCGGCCCATGCCGATCTTTTAGGGCCCCACACTGACTTCTGAGGGCCCGTGCTGTCATGTAAGGACCCACCTTAGCCTCTGAGGGCCCCGCACGGGTTTCTGAAGACCTGATGCCGGCCTCTATGGGCCCGCATCGGCCTCTGAGGGCCCATCTTGGCCTTTGAGGGCCCTCTACTGGCCTCTGGGGTCCAACGCCGGCCCATGTCGATCTTTTATGGCCCCACACTAACCTCTGAGGGCTCCATGCTGGCCTGTAAAGACCCACATTAGATTAGCCTTTGAGTGCCCAATATGGTCTCTGATGGTCTCAAACTGCCCTTTGGAGGCCCTGTACTGGTCTCTGAGGGCCCTAAACTGGCCCCTAAGGACCCAAACCAGCCTCTAAAGGTCCCACACCGGCCTCTGATGGTCCCATTTCTGTCTCTGGGACCCAAACTGACCCTTATGTGCCTCTGAGGGCCCCGTACTGGCTTCTAAAGGATCGATGCCGGTTTCTGAGGACCCATAACGGTCTTTAAGTGCCTCATACCGACACCTGAGGCCCCACACTAGCCTCTGAGGGGGCCCAAAACTGGCCTATGAGGTCTCTACACCGACCACTGATGGCCCTATTATGTTCTCTGGGGGCTCAAGCCTTACCTTTGGACGTCACGCACTTGCCTTTGAAGGCCCACATCAGCCTCTGGGGCCCTACCTGGGGCCTTTGAGGCCCTTCGCTGACCCTTGGATCCAACGCCGGCCTCTGGGGGTCTGACACCGTACTATAGGGGCCCCATTGCAGCCTCTAGGCGATAGGTATCGCTGAAGCGCTATCGATGGGCCGAAGTAAGTGTGGGAACCATGGGTGCAGTGGGCGCAGTTGCACCAACAATAATTCTGCATAGGGTGCAGACAATGTATTCTGCATCCACAATAATCTGGAACAAACCCCCTTTTCTCAGCAACACTACTTTCCATGCAGCACGACAAATTTAGGATATTTTGCCCACTATCCATCTTTCGAAGCATTTGCTACTGTAATGGTCTTCAAAACTTACATTTGTGCTCAAGTAGGTACCTAAAAAACAAAAATGAAACGGAACACGTGTGATTGAACAGTGAACAGATACCGATGACCCACTGTCAAAAGTTTTAGCACGATGATCTCAGAAAATGGCAAAGTTAGCCGTCTTTACTTTTGCGGTAGTCCATTCACATTTGCGTGAGTTATTGGCATTATCAATGCTTTAACCCGCGCACCGACGGGGGGGGGCGGATATCCGGCCCCCCCTGAGGTTTTTCGCGAATAGCGGGAAAACCGCGGCGCGTAGCGCCGCGAAATTTGGTATGATTATTCCCTTATCAATTTTACACATGGTGTGCAAGTTTGAACCTCTTACCTTTCAAGGTCAGGTCACCAGGTCACTTTGAATGACCCAACCTCAAGTCACTTTTTTGCAACTTTGTCACCGTGCCAGAGCTACAGTAGATGTCGGAGGCCTTTGAAAGTCGCAGGATGTTATTAGGTCATTAGTAGCTACAATTTGTATATCTCGGAATTTTGATATCGGTGACCTAAGGTCAGGTCAATTTCGCGACCTCCCCATTATAAGTCAATGGGGGAAAAATCAACTCCCTGTTTTTACCACTAAAACGGGTCGGAATGGCCCCATATACCATACATGACTTCATATACGATCAACCTTCACTACCTTGAGGTCTGTTTTGCTGTTGGGCAGCTGTGAGGTCATGTGACGTCATCAAAGGTCACCAAAGGTTTTTGGCCAATAACTCCGTACAGGAACAAGATACAGACGCGTGGATGGTCTCATTGTGTTCAGCTCGTCAAGACGCATCGAATGATATACATGATGACCTCGAGGTCACGTGACCTGAGGTCAACCTTTGACCTTGACCTTTCGAGGTCAACATATATATCATTCGATGCGGATTGACGAGAGGATCACGATAATGCCCTTAGTTTGTTCCTATCTTGACTAATTCGAAAGTTATTCGAGAAAAACTCTCTCCATATTTAGCGCCGCCATTTTGACTTTTTCGACCCCTGTGACGTCATCTTTGACCTGACCTGAAAATGACCTTAGTAAAAATTGTAGATCTTGACCGTGCGTATCCGATGCCGTTTACCGCTTGTCGCTATCTTGCTTCGTTCTCGAGATCTCAGGGGGGGGCGGTCATCCGCCCCCCTCCCCGTCGGTACTAAGTTGGCGCAGACCCCCGTCGGTGCGCGGGTTAAAATGCACTTATCGATACCTTTTCGACATGGAACATCCTCAAAGCTCGCAATAAGCCTCCGCTCGGGTGCCGCTCCCTACCCCCCCCCCCCCCCGCTTCACCGGCCATGGCCTGGATTTCTGCACCCGTGCACTACGCCCGTGGGCCCCTTCTAGCACCGGGCCCCCCGGGTCAGCGCACGGGCCCCTTTGCCAAGTTGGCCCCCCCCCAAACTCCAAGTCTGCGACCGCCCCTGTAGCGTTGCGATATAATGACCGTACTGATATATAATTTAGTAACTTGTTCATTCTTCTCATAGTCACCTCGGCTGGAAATCCACGAATCGTGTGCGAAAGCCGTTGTCTTGAAGATAAGTAAAATGTTAAAATAATATGACAATGAAATAATGAATAAAAACCATGAAATGGTGGGCAGCGATGTAGAGAAAACCGATACAGAAAAAGTGCAAAGATCAGCATTAGGTTCAGCGAGAAGAAAATATTCCTACAAACTAGGAGAGAGTGGGGTAAGATGCCCAGGTTGGGAAAGACGCCCCACCCCATCTAGCGGCGAAACAAAGAATCGGACCTGGAAATTAAAGGGACCCTCCCACCTTAACATTAGTTTTGAGTTGAGATAGCCAAGTTTGCGGCCAGGCTCAGAAACCACCATTTATCCTGGTCGCAACCCCCGCAGCTTTATGGTGTTGAAGAAATTTCTTCCCTTTACTTGCAGGGTGGGACCAGCGTGATCCCTATCTCTTAACCATTACGGGAATCTGATGACGTCATCAGGCTTTCGAACGTCCGTTAAATGTTTGACTAAAACGTTTTGTAGCACGCGGTGGTATATGCTGCTTTGCGCGCAACAAATGCCGCACTTTCAAATAAAGTCGCTAGGAACAGCGGAGATCCCAAAAAGTAAACAAAAGTAAAAGTCTAATATCTTGAAAACCGGTGAATATTTTTCGATGAAATTTGGTAGATATTCGTTTTTGCTCTTTCTGAACCGAGCGACATCACTTTCAAGCCAATTCATTAACTTTTTTGAAGGTGGGAGGGTCCCTTTAATGTTCTTAGCGTAAAGCGGAAGCCTTCCTTGTTAACTGCACAAAACATTGCGAAGCTCAGTTGGGCAACGGCTGGCTGATGATTGCATGTTTTTTATTTGCTGCTTTCAAAAAATATTTTGGTGTCAAAACATTGTAAATATCAAAGAAGGTAAATAATTTTTGCGTCCCTTGCTATAGTCGTGATACATTAGCATGCGTGTACTGTGTCCCAAACAGTATGCTTCAGGGTGTAGTTTTATGGCTAACAAATTCTACTGATTTAATGTTACTTCGGTACCTTGGGGTAAGATGCCCCCCCCCCTGTCCTGATGGGGAAAGACGCCCCCCCCCTAAATCCGTAGGCTGTCCTTCAAACAGCCCGTCAAATCATATATTATACTTTTGATGTAGACAAAAGCCGATCTGGGACTATTGAGAGTCCAGTACGGTCGGGTGCTCCCCATGCCGGTCTCTCGGCCCACATAGCGACTTTTTGGGCGGCATCTGACTCTGAGAGCCCTCACGACGGCCTCTGTGGGCCCCATTATTGGCTCCAGGGCCCCTCACGACATCCTTTGAGGGCTCCCACGTTGGCCCCACGGGCCGCGCTGGCATCGGAGGTCCCCACGATGGGCTCGAGGGCCCTCAAGCATCATGAAGACCTATAAGAGCTCCGCAGTGGTCTCCGAGCGCCACAACGGAGGCTTGTTTGGCCGCGCTGGACTATGATGGCCCTAACGATGACCTCTGAAGCCCTTTACGACTACTCTTGAGGGCCCTTATGATGACGTTTGGTGTCTACTGCAGGCTCGAAGGAACTACTGATTCGTTCAGGCGATTCACGTGCCCATTTATGTCACTTATAGTGCAGGGGGCATCTTTCCCAACGTCAGGGGGCGTCTTTCCCACCCTGTGGGGTAAGATGCCCCCTTTCACTTCTTCAGGAAAATGCTTAATAGCAAAAAAGTTATAATATTTCAGGCACGAAAGTGTGATATTTTGGAGAAAAATGATGTCGGCTTCCTTTGAAACTCCAAGTTTTTGCTTTCCCATCGTCATTTTCGAATAATATATGACATAGCAAAACCCTGGGCATCTTTCCCCACTCTCCCCTACGCACCCATGCCTAGAATATGCATATTTATGTACTGAAGAGACGAGGATTAGGAAATGGATAATGAGTACCTATGTAATGTCAGAACGGAAAGTCGAAGCAATAAAGAAGCCTGTAACATAACACATGAACTCATAAGCAATGAAAATAACGGTTGAAAAATGAATATGCCGTTCAAGACACCGTTTCACCGATGCATTTTTATTTAGTAGACGATTCTGACGAGTTCAGTTGTTGTAACATAATCATACACAAATTGCCGATTCAGTCGTGAATCATAAACCGAAAGTAAGAAGAAACGTATCTCATTACACGGCATGATACGTATAAATAACGACACAACATGAATAGATAAATGATAGTTGATGAGTCGATCGATCGCAGCTCACGAGAGGTGAAATCTGTCAATCAATATGATATAAAATCACTTTTCACCAATAGCTGTTAAATGCACCGTAAAAGCTGCTGTTAAAGTCACAACAGCACTGTAAAAGTTGTTGCATATAATCATTGACAATAAACATACCTATGTTAATAGTTAGAAGTAAGCCTTCAGCCTATTTTTTAAGACTATGGCAGCAAATAAAAGCTCGTAAATATTTATTCTACATATTACATCAATTAACAATAGGTAGATATATGTAATCACACACTAGGTATATCTGAATCCCTAAAAAAATCCAATGAAATAACGAACTGATGGTTTGCTGGCTACCCGGCCCCCAAAACACATCGGTATGATACAGTAACATGATGCCTGAACCTACTACTCACTCCCCATCAACACGCATCTAAACAGATGAATATCGACACTAAAGATAAACAGTCGAGCCGTACCTTTTCGTACCACCCGTGTAGTTCTGCTATCAGCACAGTAACAGCCGTTTACGTTATGTGCACTCTTCGTAACAATTACACTCTTACATCAATCCGTCCCTCAAACAGTGAAACAGAGTGGTAACACCCGATCGACGATCATCCGACGATTATCCTGAGTAGATTCGGTTCGAGATCTCTACAACATGGACACAGTGCAATCTACACAGCGATAGAACAATTAGCGGGACTCATAACGACAATCCCGTCAGCACGTTAACACACGCTGATAACGATAAAGGCCAGACGAAGCCCATATCGTCAGCTAAGAAAAGAGGCACTCACATTAGTCGTGTTTACATAGGGTTCCCTTAATCTTCCCCTATTTCTCCCCTATTTTCAGATCGAATTTTAGGCATCATAGCGCTCGCGTGTAACGTTGCTATGGACGCTATTGTTGTTAGAAGCATACTAAGCATCGTTTATGCTGTAAACAATATAAATTGGGCTTATTTAATACTCGAAATTCAACAATTCATATTTTGAAGTAATTTTATCCTGCCCTTCAATTCCCTCTTTAAGCGACAAATAGGGGAGGATTTGGTAGCGTAGCGCCTTTCCAAAAGCTGCTACGCTACCATATCCAGTGGTTCTCAAACTATCACATCACAAAAGCGGCGTGCTGATTGGCCGGCAGTTCCGAATCGTCCGACTGGTGGTCCCCGACTCGACAAGCGCACGTGCGCCGACTGAGGATTTTTAAGTGGCATTAACGCATAAACGGCAGAAAGTCAAGGCGGAAATTTGACAGTACTGCGGTGTTCTGATCAGTTCTGATATTGCCGTGGATGTGATTACACCTACTTGAATAATAGCTCAGCCGTTTAAAGTATGTTAAATGCCAGATAGTTTTCTGATTTTTCTTGCTTTGAGCTTTCATGTGCTATCACTTTTACCTCAGTGTCTAGTCTGGAAGCTATTTGGGAGAGCCCTAAAGGTAAGTAACAATTGCAAACTGCTTCTAGAATGACTTAGTTGCGCCATATTTGTAGTGAAGCGAGGTAAAGGAGACAGAGGATTCCTTTATAAGGGACATTTAAGAGACAAATAGGGGAAGATTAAGGGAACCCTATGTAAACACGGTTATTGACACTCAACACAGGCCAACAATGCTATGAATGCTGGTCCACGAGTTGGTCTTAGCTTGGCACAGCCGTCACCGTCTCTGGAACAGCTCGTCCATATTCTGAGTGGCCATTTATCGTGTCTCGTTGCAGATAGCTGAACATGTTCTTCAGGCACTTTTTGCAAATGCTAGGAAAACATATTCGCTTTGAAAGTTAATAGTCCTCGTTGTTTCTTGATACGAAAATAGTATTTCTAATAACGTCGTCTTGAGGGTTGGCGATCGCCCGGCTCGGCTTTCTGTTACCGGACGACGCCGAACGAGTCGTCTGAAAGACACCCGAACGATTAACGAGTGCTTAGGCAAGCGACCTGCGACATGTGTGAAAAACCTGCCAGTTACCTGCATGCCCATCCTATATGTCTAACTGAATCATGATGCAAGAGCAAGATTGCTACGCTACACATGTATAGTACAGTAAGCTCATCAGCAAAAATATAGTTTGTGTTTAATCGTGGGACGGTAATCAAGGCACAACATGACCAAAATGATTTAAGTGTGGCCGAAAACGACCCTTCCCCATCGCCAGAGTAAATGTTAAGCTCGGGAATAAGCACCGGGGAGAACGGATAACCGTCTTTCTTCCGTGAGGTTACCGGATGGCTAGATACATCGATGAATAGGATGTGTTGGTGAATGTTACCGGGTTCCTTGATTATTGAAGTTGTAGCGTAGGTAATCGACCCATTGTGACTCATTGTGATTTCATCGGAACATTCATCGCTCATCATTAACTTCTGTTTGCCCCTCTGCCTAACGTGGTGTGTCTCATATAAAGCTTTATGCTTTATACTCTTTTATGATAGCTTTACCCCCAGAGGTTTCCGGCTCACCTGCGGTGAACGTCTCCAGCTCGATGTCGGTGGACGAGCGGCGGCGCTCCCTGGCGCGGTTCGCGTGACGGGCCGGCTGGTGGGACGGCTGACGGGACGGCGGCTGCTGCGACAGCTGGCGGGACGGCGCCCGGTACTTGTTAGTGGGACGCGGAGCGCCACGGCCCACCGGTGGCGGGAAAGAGCGCCTTCGTGCCGGTGCCTCGCCCACGCTGAACGTCCTCTCCAGAGAAGCGCCGCGCTTGGCGGGCGCCACCGGCGGCGCTGGCTGCTTCTGGCGCAGGCGGGAGCGCTGTTGCACCTTCTTCGCGCTTGGCGAGGGCGTGGAGGCGCGGGACCGAGTCGGCTTCAGCGCGACCGGGGACTGCACCGGCAGGAGCGACTGCTCGTCCGAGTCGCTGGAGCGGCGCGTGGAGTCGTTGGAGCGCACCGCAAAACGCACCGTCTTCTTGGGCTTGTTGCTACGCGGCCGCACCGGCGCCAGGTCAACCCCCGAGTCTGCACTGTTGGGCGAGCCGCCGCCGCCGCCGCCTCCGCCGTCAGCGGCCAGCTCGATGGTGTCCTGGAAGTCCCCGTGCTCCGGCGGCCGGTCCTGGATGCCATCTGTGTCCGGCAGGTCCTCACTGGGTATCGTCAGGTCGTTCAGGAAGATCTCGAACTCGGGGTCGGGTGCGAAACTGCCCTTGAGACTGAGGTCAAGGCCGAGGAAGCGCATGTTGGAACGGTGCGACGAGTTCATGACGCGCAGGTGTAATCCGTTGGCGGTGGAGAAGAGCACCGGTGTCTTGTAGCTTGTCACGTGATTCTGTGAGCGACTGCGACCCGACTTCTTAGCCGAGTCGGACTTCTTCACATAGGCGGAAATGGGCCTCACTGAGGAGTAGTCATCCACTGTGTTCGGTCGGCAGCAGAACAGCAGGCCCTCAGCCTTCTTGCGCAGGTCTTTGTGGAAGGTCAGCGCAGCGATCGGGTACAGGATCAGAAAACCGTAGCGGAGCCACATGAAGATCTGCTCGTGTACCGCGTCGCTGCGGACGGTAAGCAGATGCTGCTGCGCCGCCACCGTCCCGTTTACCTCATCGATCGTCTCGTTTGTGGCGATAGTGACGTTCTCCATTCGCGCGCGCGTCTCTTCTGCTTGCTGTTCCTCGATCTGGGTCATGTTGTACGTGTTGGCGATCTGGTCCGAGTGCACGATGATGGCCTGCGGCAGGACGAGCAGCACGTACAGCAGCAGCACGGCCAGCACCATCAGCGTCGGGCCCTGCTCGGTCCGCAGGTGCGGCGTCACAAACACCTGCTCCGTGTAGGCGAACGACCGCTTCAGCTGCAGCTTTTTCAGCTGCTTCCGCTCGCGGTGCACGATGCGCGCCACCTGTACAATGCAGGTGATCATGGCGCACAGCGGCAGAAGGTGGCCAAACGTCAGCATCAGCGCGCCGTACACCACGTCCTTGTCGGCGTCCACGGTGCAGCAACTCAGCCGCGCCTCGTGCGGGTACGACTCCAGGTAGCCGCACAGCAACGGCGACGTCAGCAACACGGGCACAAACCACGCGGCAACGATCGCCAGCGTCCGCTTCGTCGGCGTCATGTACTTGCGGTAGTTGTGGAGGTACTTCATCATGAGGGCGCGGTCCAGACAGAACAGGAGGACGCTGAGGCTGGTCAGCAGCAGCGTGCCCTCGCTGATGGCGGCATCCGAGCGACACGCGTACAGACCCAGTGGCCAGCGCTGGCGGGCAGCGAACGCCGCCGATAGGGGCACGGACACCACCGACTCCAACATGTGACCCACCGCCAGCGACAGGGCGAACAGGTTGATGGCCTTCTTCTTGAGCGTGTAGCTGGCGGCGACAGTGACGATGAGCAAGACGTTGAGCAGGATGGCGACGATACTGAACAGCGCAAGGAACGCGGCCACGGCGTAGTGAGTGTCAGGGCATTCGACCACTTCCTGCACAACCTTGACGCTGCCGTTCGGTAAGCTTTCAAAGGTGATGATCCAGTCACCGCAGTCTGACATTGCGACAGCCTGTTTGGCTCAGAGAGCGAGGAATGCGAAGGGTGAGCGGATCGAGGCGAGGATGAGCAGGTTTACGGAAAAGGGACAGGCAGCAATTAGGTGGGTGTCGAGTGGAAAGTCGCTTACAGACGATGATTCCTTCGTTTTGCTCGCGGATCCCAGTATTGCTATGCTTGTTTCAATTATTCTACACGTCTTCAACCAATGAAAGGGATCCACAGGTCTTCACGGCACGGCTGGTCGCTTCGTGCGACCAACTCCTTAAGTGCTCGTGTCAGCCACGGTCCTCGACATGGCTACATACCTACACTTCTGATCTGACACCAATCCCGAGCAGTAATCTTCTGTCGTCGACCTGTCTCACATCACGGCTCAGTTCGGACCACGCCACTGTCGGCCCTGCACCTCGCCGACCGGTCCAGCTGCAGTGACGGGTCGGCGGCAGTGGTCGCCGTGTTTTGGCTTGTTTTCGCTCGTTGCCGGGACACCGGCGGTCGATGGCGGCACGTGAAGGCGCCCCGCGCGCGGCCAGGTCGATGCACCCAAGGTGACGCCAGCTGATGCCGTGACTGGCTCGGACATTCATGCCAAGGTCAGGTCATGTCGCCCCAGGCGGTGCGGGGCAGACCGGCCCACGGGCTGGTGATCGATTTGCGAGTCGAGCGGCTCTTCACCGCTGCTCGCTGACTCGCTGTCAGCATATTAGAGCGGCCGTCCAGCTCCAAGAGCGATGAACTCCCTCCGCGAGTGTTGCATGTGATGTCACGGTTGTGAGTCACGCTAGTCAGAACGGCTCTGGTTTAATAATGATGACTCACTAATGGCCGTCAGAATCGGAACGTGCTATTTCCGTGTGAACTTCGCACGGATACGTTTGCGAAACGTGAGGAATATTTCACAATCACATCAGTGAGGTCAAGGTAAGCGTTATGGACAGACAAACGCCGACTAGCGAGGATGAACAAAAAAGGCTCAACATACATCTTAGTTTGTTATCTCACCCAAGATCATTATTCCATCCTCGTTGCCCGGTCGGAAACGGTCTTCATTCCTTTTATATCATACCAAGGAATATAGCCCATAATAATCGAGAATCCTTCTGACCATAGACCTACAGAGGTCTATGTTCTGACCAATCCAAATATAGCCCTGGCACCGCCCGTTCGCCGACATCAAAGTCAAGTAACAGCTCCCCTGGCCGACTAAGCCTCCCAATTCCACTGAGGACGTGACGAAATTGTGCTGTCAAATAAGCGGACGAATAGTCAAATAAGCGGTCAAATAAGCGCTTTCCTTTAGCTTCCTTCGTTTTCTGTGTAGGCTCATATGGTTAATTGAAATCACCGCCAGAAAACTACAATTCAACAACAAACACAATCTCCTTAGCTGCCATCCACTCTAGCAAAAAAAAAAGAAAAAAAGAAAAGAAGTAAAAGCGACGCACAGTAAGAAAATACGACGCTCTTCGTACACATTTTATTAGTGCCGAATATCCGATGAGCATGGTTCGTTGAATAAAAAGTCGTACAGTGTCTATAGGTAATCTGAGGCCATGCGAACGTCGCTTGTCATGCGGGTAAAACATTTGGAAAGGCTTCCATTGGGTTGCAAAAATGATGATTTCCGGAACTAGCAAAGTAGCGCCGAGTAACGCCATTCACACTAATGAACATCACTATCTAACGGTATAACTGCTACACAATCTCGCAGAGTGGCCACTATTACCCTCATCCCAAGTGAATCTCTAACAGTAAACGGCGTCCTGCCACACACCATACATTCTTTAGCGTCACACTCTGACCCAGGTCAGTGGAGCGGCCCAACTGAATCGGAGACACCCGAGACAGCGGCACCCATCGGCTGTTGGCAGCGCCGCCATCGGTGGCTCTCATTCTCGTTGAGGTGATTACCAGCCCGCGCCCCACAAAAGTTCCGAGCAGGCCAACAAAATGGTCAATGGCTATTACCCGCGCCGATGACAAAACTAGAGTGGCTAACATACTATGAGAACTTCATGCAGTCATGCAAAATAAGCCGAAACACATAACAGCAGACGAAAGCTAGCAAGTCATCGGAACAGCTATCCGTGAGCTAGCAGTCTCGGTGAACATCTTTCGCACAATAGCAGCCATCATATTCAAGGTACCGAAAAAGATAGACGAAAATGACACATAAGAAACATTCCCTAGCACACAGCGAAATAAGACATGATAGCATCTCAACTTCCCTTCACTAAACAGAGCTACAAAATGATGAATCACTTCCTTACCCACGACCTGCACAATAAGGTACGACAAAAAGCAACAGCTGCGCTCAACTTCGGGACCGGACCGGCACGACACAAAACAAGCTTTACCAAGCAGCGAAGACCCACCGTGGCCATCCTGCAAGGAACCAAACACCACTTTTTGGCAGCCGGGGTGAAACCCCCGAACGCTAGTGGCTAACCAGAGAATGACATTAGCCAGCACTCTGGTGTAAATGTAGCGTTGTGTCGAGCAACGCGAGTTCCTTCAACCATCAACGTCTCCTAGTCGGTCTTCCTCTAACCAGCGTCTCCACTGATACCGGCGTTTCCTGGCCAGCAAACGCGTCTCCTAAGCGGTACTAGCTCATCATCGCCAGCAGAGGATCACCTTAGCGGCCAGCTGCTGGCCGTTGCCATCGTCTCTTGGGCGTAACTAGCGATTCCTGGACGAGGCCAACGTCTCGTCTCAACACAAGCGTGCCCTGACCAGCATCAGCATTTCCTGACCGATACCAGTGTCCCTTTGCTGGTCCGATCGGGCAGCCAAGGCACGCTTGATTGTGCCGTGCAGTCAGACCATCGACATCCTGTCTTCCCGGCGTCATCCCAATGTGGCGACATTCAAAGATACATTACGATGGACGCTCAATGTAAAAAGAACATACCGGCAAGAGAGTCGATAGTACGCTACATAATCGGGGCAGCGCACAGTTTCAACACAATATTGACTGGACGATGAACAATGATACATTTAAGCACAATTGTGAACTTCACTGACAAAGCGTCAAATATGCAATAAAAACTTCCCAAGCAGTAGCCAATAGGCTCGACAGGAAGTGACATGGAGAGCAACAGCGACCAGAGAAAGCTTACAGCGTCTTTGGTTAGCGAATCGGCAACATCTCACTACCCCAGTCTCCTCAGTGCGTCCTGAAACACGAAGCTCCCATTTCCTACGCTGGCCAACCACCGTTTGTCCACCACCACTACGTTCCATGTAGCGGAACTCCGAGCTGCTATAGCTCAGGGCACGTACCAATCCTGTGGACGACCCAGCGACTGATACAGTCTCGAGGAATGGAGCCAGACGACTGATACAGTCAGCAGAGGAATGGAGCCCAGTTGACTGATACAGCCTCGAAGATAGAACCCGTAGACTGATACAGTCTGGAAGACGGGACCCGTAGACTCGGACGCTCCCGGGTGGGCAGACCGAACTGGTAGTATCTAGTAGTTCGGACCCGTCCACTGAAGTAGTCTCACGGAATGCAGCCGTCCGCTCGGTATGCTCCCGCTGCTGAGCCAGGTAGCTGGTGGTTGGAGGAGGTAACGACTAACGAGTAACACTCCCGCTGCTCCATCACCGAGCGCTCTGCTGAGCCCAGCACGACACACTGGCTGCCCATCTTCAGAATCAACTGCGCCACTACCTTCTCACCAGCAGGGCCAGCAAACAAGCGCCACCTACCCACCGGAGACGACTGACATGTGACCTCCGTTCATCTCAGCTATCCCAACGTGAATATAATCTCATATCCACTGCTGGGTCTCTTATCGAGTTGTCATCAAGCTATTTGTCACCGGACATAAGTCGGCGAGAGAGATCCGTGCCACAACACGGCCAGCGCTTTCTTTTTCGTGTCTGGGGTGGCGGTGTGCCCTGATCCACGGTGACCAGGCTAGAGCATCAACTGGGTACGCTTCTCCTCCCAGTGTTTTTAGACAGCTCGGCCGCCCTCCACGGCCAGCCCGGCCGGTCGAGCGCCGGCGCGCGGCCCGGCCGCCGCCTTGACCCCCTCGGCCTTCTGCGGCCGGTCCTTGGTCTCAGTAACGTTCAGACCGTACTGGGCGAGTGCCTGCAGCATGGGCAGCGGCCGGCGTGGCCACACTGAGCGGCGTTTGAGCGCGTCCGCCTGCTCCTGCAGACGCTCCAGCCGGCGCAGGTAGGGCCACAGTTTCTGCTCCACCCACTCCGCAATGGTGTAGCGGTCCACCACGCCGGTCAGAGCAGATTTCACCGAGCCCACCATCGCGCTCAGCATGTGCTTGTGGCTGTAGTACATCTCAGTTAGCTCGTCCACACGGAACGGGTTGGAGTAGTTGCGCTCCACATTGTACTCCGTCAGCCAGCCCTTGCTCTCGGTGGCCGTTTTCAGGAACTCCTCAGTCTGTGCTATAGTCGCCTTGTAGCGTCCCAGCAGTTTGAAAAACTTGACACCGGGAAAGCGGCATTGTGAGAACTGGTACAGACCTTCCGGGTCATCGGACAGCTGCAGAAACGGTTCAGAGTCGCCCCCGACTCCCGAGTTCCCGCAGCGAAGAGCGTTCCTGATCGGTTCTTGCAGCGACTGGTTGTAATAGCCGTGTGTCGCGGTAGCCAGGTCAATAGCCAGAGAGGGAATGCCAGCCGGCAGCAGCTCAGCCAGGACAGCCATGTGATCGTACCGCTGCCACCCGCAGATGACCATGCCGGCGAACCCGTCTGAGAAGCGATCCGACTCGCGCCGCATGGTGGCCAGCCAGTTGAGCGTGTTGTCCAGGTGGCGCTGCAGCGGCGGCAGAATCAGCGTCTCGCCGAACGCGCCCTTGTACGCGGCGGCCGTCCACGCGCGCGGAAACACTTCCGAGAAGGTGCTGTACACGTGCGGACCGGCAAACCGGTCCACGTCCTCGGCGTACACCCAGACCATCGGCTCCACCAGCTCGCCGATACCGGAGCGGCGCAGCGTATCGGCCGGAATGTGACGCATCATGTCGTCCCAGATCAGCGGCGTGGCCCCGTACCGGCGGCGCACGTACCGCGCCACGTACGCCACGTGCTCCAGGAAAAGCTCGTCCCGGAGCCGGCGCTGGCACAGATCGCACACGCCCATGTGGTAGACCTCGTCACAGCCGACATGTAGCTCGGCAGCTCCGGCATGGAGCTCCATCACTTGGTCGATGATGGTTTCCACCAGTCGACGCGAGGCGTTCCGGGACGGACAGAGCGCCTCCGGGTGCGGTGGCGACTCTCGCAGGTGGGAAAACTGCTCCAGTTTGAGAAACAGCTCCAGGTGACCGAACGTCTGCACCAGAGGGATAACTCCCAGACCGAGCCGTTTTGCCTCAGCGATGATCTGTCGCACCTCGGCGCGACTGTAGTGGTTGCCTGCGGCGGCCGGACGCAGTGCGCCCGAGAACGGGAACATGTCCTCCCACTCCATCATAACATCCGTAGCGCCCAGCTTCTTCACGATGGCAAACACTTTGAGTAGGTAGGGAACGGTCGGCGGAGCGCCCTTCAGGTCAAAGTGGATGACGCGCCGTCGCGGGACGTACGGTGTGCGCGGCTGTCGTCCGATGTGCTGCAGCTGACGCTCCTGGTGCAGTTCCTCCACCCGCGCCCGATCCAGCGGCACGTCCGGCAGCATCTCTCCCTCCGGCGGCGGCCCGTGCTCTGGCGGTACGGGATCCTCTGCCGGGGGGAGCCGCTCCCCGGCCAGCGGGAGCTGCTCGCCGCCCGCTCCCGGCGGCCCGTCGGCCGCCAGCGCCGCCGAGTTGCGCAGCATGTCCGCCAGGGGCGCTGCCGGCGGGTCGTTGGGGTGCACTCGGCGCGTGCCGTCCTCGTTGTAGAGTAGCGGCACGGCGGGCGGCGGCTGCTCGGCCGGCAGCCGGCGCGCCTCCTGCAGCTGGTGCGGCGAGTGCAGGCCCGTCTGCAGGTAGAGCAGCAGCAGTAGGCTGAGCGCCGCCAGCAGCAGCAGCAGAGACCGCCAGCGGCGCAGCACGGCCCCCACCACCGGCTGAAACGGACAGACGCGGACCTCGGTCAGGCGGCGGCGAGCACAGTGGCGGGCGGTGGGAGGGATGACGGAAACACTTCCACTTACTCTTTATGAAAAATGATTAATAATATACAATTTACAACAATACAACGAACAGAATGAGCTGTAAGCACAATATCCGAGCCGGAATTCCAACATATTGTCCGCAGCCATTGGTGCAAAACGGAAACAGATATCAACCACCTAACACACACTCAACAATGACTTTACCGGAAGCAGCATTATGGCGACATCCAACTCTTCCACTGCGCTTAAACTACGACGAGTTAGTGGAGATAGAGAAAGGGTTGGGCGGCTGTCGGCCGGTGTCGTGTGGGCGTACTTTCACTGGTGCACCGTGCGCTAGTTCAGAGCGGGAGGGAGGTCACGAACGACACCGCGCCCGGCGGGGCGAGGGCGGGTCCGATGGAGGTAGGAGAGGTAACGCAGCTCGCGGCTTTTCTGTGCAACAGATGGAGCTCCATGGTGGATACCTAATGTAACAAGGCATTGGGCAGTGAGGAATGCGATATGTTGCAACCAAAGCATGGAACGACCTATTGCCGATGTGACTTCACGCAAGCACGTTATGTTTTGGGAAAACCCAAGATGACACGGACGGTTTGTGATTTCTTCTATAAAGCTGGGCCTGTTTGGCTAATCTGCGCCAAGCTGAGCTGTCCAAGTCCCCGTTTCATACCGGTCCCAGTCAGGCTAGCCGAGATCTAAATACACGTAATCGTTCAGCGCCCTTTGACATTTCGCACCGCTCGGCTTTAAAGTCGGCCTATAATAGGCCGTCTATGGGTGTAAATTGTGACTATCTGATAAAGTACAAAGCAAATACTGAGTGTTTTTTAACGTCATGGAAATTTCAATTGTGGACGAATTGTTGGGTGTTCAAAAAACAGTCAGCAGCAAAAGTGGGCAAAGAAATGCGTGTTGCAATCATATAACCAAAAAAGCCAGCGGCGATTCTTACAACCTTCCGGTGAAGACAGCGCACTGACGTAGAGCACCCCTAAATAGGAGAATATGACGTCGGGGGAGTTTGTGAAACGAGCACAATGCAGCGAGCGAGGGTGACCGTTCCCGCTCCCTGGACGTCAGGTATGCAGACAACACCACATCTCTCGTCACAGCGGTAACTACCAACTGGAAAATGACGCCACACAAACACAACTGGCCACCGCTGAACGGTAGCAACAAAGCCATACGGCAACACCACCGTATTTGTGGTCAGACGTCTGTGTTTGGACAAATTGCGTGCGGCAGGAGTCTACTGCGCAACGGGATAATTGCATTCATAACATGTCAATAAATGATAGTGGATACACGTAACGGTGCAGGAATTTCTCATTAAAAGCACGATTGCTAGTGTTGCTGATATTTTGTATCTACTCTAGTTGATACTAGGGCTACCCGCGTGCTCCGCAACGCGAAGAAGGGTTATTTTTGACCCGTGGGTATTGGGTTGGTCTTTGTCGATTTGGTTGGTATCCATTTCGTTCGATTGCTTTTTGACGGCCAAACATTTTGTAATAAAACAAAAAAGATACATCGCATCGAGGTGCCCGTGTCGTATTATCATGCGTTCTACTTTAGAATGATTCGAAAACTGGCGTGAAGTCTTTTGAGGGCCATCGATGAATTTCGCTAAAAATGACAATGTAATGGTTTGGAACATGTACATTTTTAAGAATACTGTTGCTCATCCTGCAAAAATGAAGACAGAACCTTGGACAGAATTGAACGCTCTTTCCAACGGTGCCATTTTTAATTGCCTGAGATATCAGATTATGGAGCAAAGCCCGTGTGATTAATAAAGTGGCACAAAATCGACAAACACCATTTTCTCCTGTGATTCGCACCACCTTGATTTGGATCAATCAGTTTTTCACAATTTTTATATGAGAGACGGTACCTTTCTCTTGCAAATAGGCGTTGATTCAACTCGCTCCACTTAACGGTCACCTAAAAATAAAATTAATTCCAAAATCCCTCAAAAACCGCAATTTTTCAAATAAAAGTGCTCCGGTGCACGTGGCGCGTGCTATCCTCTGCATTGCACACCATTCAATAGCCCGTTCAATTCTGTACACGATGCTGTTTTCTCCGTGCCGGTCGGACCCCTGGTCACCAAGATATTGCACGGAAACTGGACCCGTGTCGGCCAAAATTAGCCGTTTTCGCCCGATTTCGCACGCCGATTTATACATGTAAAGTCTATGACGCGAATTTGCACTTTTTGAGCACGCGCCACGCGCTCCCTATCAATCCGATCGAGCTGAGACCCCTCAAAGGCACGTCGCGCATCCTTGATCTATAAGTTGTGCAAATTTCACCGGGCTAGGTGCAACGGTCTGGCCTGTAGTCCACGCAAAGCACCACCAAGTTGGGATCTCGGTAACGGACAGACGCACCCTCCTCAAATATAGTTCGTTTTTTTTTAAGTTCGACCCTCACTGTAAACATCTTTTTGGAAACAGCACGAGAATTGCTAGCTGAATTACTGAGAAAACTGGTTAGCGCACTTTGTATTGGAGATATGAATTAATATTTTCAAAATAAGTTTCTAACACCGATGATATACTGTTACGTTAAACGCCGTGCGATTTATCAATTAGTTCACTTATTCTTCCTGACAAGTGCTGGATCCTTGTGGGGCGGCAAATACCGAGTTGCGAGTCTGGGGAAAAGGAGCCAGGTAGATATAATTTTGATACAATTGATCGTGTGTGAAGTCATTGTGCGCCAACGAGTTTTCTCAGTAATTCAGCTACGAATTCTCGTGCTGTGTTCAAAGAGATGCTTACAGTGAGGGTCGAACTTAGAAAAAACGAACTATAGTTACGGAGCGAGCGAAGCGAGCGTAGTCTTTCCTTAGATTAACGGAAATTTCTGAGTATGAGCGGCCGGCCGGCCGGCCGGCCGGCCGGCCGTGCGGACGCTTTTGCGAGGCTTATATCTCAGCAACCACTTGACCGATTTACACGCGGTAATTTTTGTAGGGTAGCTTCATTCCTTCTACCAAGTATTGGACTATTCCCGATGCATGTGGGTGACCCCTTATGCACGTGCCACGCGCAAAACGAAGAGGTGTCAGTTTTGTAATTGTTGCAATATCTCGGTAACTACTTGGCCGATTGCGCTGAAAGTTGGCATGTAGGTAGGCACCCACTAGGCACTGCATATCCATGTGCCAGAGTTGGGGTGCTGCTGCACGTGCGCACGTGCAGGGGTCGTTTCCAGATCTCGAGAACGGCTGGACCGATTGCGCTCAAATTTGGTACACGGTTACGGAGCAGTTAGTAGGGTGCCGTGCACAAGTCAGTTGGGACCCATTTTGCACGTGCGCACGTGCAGGGTGCCGCTTCCAGATCTCGAGAACGGCTGGGCCGATTGTGCTCAAATTTGGCACATCGCTAGAGACCGGTTTGTAGGGTGCCGTGCACAAGTCAATTGGAGGTACCCCCTTGAAATTTCGCACGTGCAAGGCTCACCCTCTCGCTCGCTCCGTTAGTCGCCCCCAAAAGGCGTTATACTGGTAATATAGATTGTGCGAGCTCGATATCGTATCTCGCAACATCTTGTCGCACAAATATCACAGAAAAATGCTCTTTATTGTAATAATGAACAGAGAAACGACAAAACAAACGGGCATTAGTGGTCCTTGACCGAGGGATAAGGCAACAATGATATCTGGATTTCGCCCATCGGCAGATATCGATTCCAGCAGCTCAGCGATCGGTTACTGCTGAAACCAAGCGACGCACAAGAAAACGGTCTGAGACGACACTGGCAATCTGTTCGGAGGCATACAGAGCGGTGGGAAGCCACGACACGCAAAGACGCAGGCTAATTAATACGGGCCGGTGTGACTAGCCGGAGGTGGCGACAGCATTGCTCATGAGCCAGCTGCGTAAAAAGAGATGGGAGAAACCAAGATTACTTTGGAGAAACAATCTGAAAAGCGCAATTGACATCACGCTGGGGTGCTGAATTGAGCGAAATCACAACAGCGATGGGCCCGACCACGATATCCGAGCAGGCACACCGCAATGAGTTCAGTTCCGACAGACGGGTCATTATTCGGCAGACAGCTGCTGTTGTTTTATCCTGAGCGACAACGCATCCAGCCAACAGACCACACAGTACACACCCTACCTCTCAGCGCACCCAGCCCTCCACTCTCCTGGCAAATATGGCCAAGTCCATCATTTTGGCGAGCCAGACGCGAAGCCGGAGCAGCAGGCGGCGCTCGTCTACGGTAGGACCGCACTCGACCCGCTCCACCAGCTCGTCATCCGCCCGCAGGGTCAGCGCGCGCAGGCCGGGACAGCGCCGGCTGAGCCCGAGCAGTCCCTCGGCCGTCACAATCGCCGGGAAGCCGGCGCCGGCGCGGCCCAGCTCCAGCTCCTCCAGGGAGGCCGAGCTCAGCGCCGCCAGTGACCAGTCCGACACGGCGCTGGAGCCCACCAGACTGAGACAGCGGAGCGCCGGCAGTCGGCCCAGCAGCGCCACACCGCCCGGCTTCAGAGCGCAGCGTGTCAGACTCAGCGCCTCCAGCTGCGGCAGCCTCTCCAGCAGCAGCTCCAGCTCGCGGGTCGCCAGGCGACAGTCGTCCAGCTCGAGCCGCCGCAGGCGACCCAGCCCCGCGTGCGGCAGGCTGGCGGCCAGGGATTTGTCGCCCTTGTCGACTATTTTCAGCCGTTCCAGCCGGCTAAGGCCCTCCAGAGCAACAGCCAGCGAGTGTGGTACCATTTTGCGGCAGTCCAGTAGTTCTAGCGAACGCAGCTCAATGCAGCGCGCCAGCCCGGCTATCTCCTTCCAGCTCAGCTTCTCGCAGTCGAGCGAGAGCCGCTGCAGCCCGGCCGGCAGTCGATGTAAAACTGGCGGCACATCCGGATGGCCAAGATGGATGAAAGAAAGCACTGACAGTGAGCGCAGGCCGGGCAGTGCCGACGAAACCGCACCCAGACCGCAATCATTAACGGCACAGTCCAATGTGATGTCCGTCAGTTGAGTGCAGGCGGTACACAGCTGAGTCAGTAGCCGCGTCTCCAAGAACCTATCCTCGCCGACCAGTGTCAGTCGCTGCAGGCGCGGCCAGGACGGCGCGGCCGCCATCACCGCCTTCTTCTGCAGCCACATTTCATCGTCATCGTCCGACAGCCGCACCAGCAGCTCCCGCAGCGCCGTCAGCCGCGGCAGCACCGCCAGCACGGCGTCACGGTGCGGCGACGCGCCCACACAGAACGCCTTCAGGTGGGAGAGGTGGAGCGAGACCGCGTCCCGGCACCGCACCGACACCCGCTCCAGATTCAGCAGCGAGCGCACGTCCAGCCGGGCGGCCACCTCGCCCAGAACCTCCAGTGGCAGACAGTCCATCGAATTCGGCGCCGCCCGCTCCGTCCAACAAACCTCTGAAGGGGCCTCAACGGACAGATTTTCGTCCGGCGGCTCGGCGCCCGCGGAGACGGAGCAGTCGGCAGCGGCGGCCATGGCCGGTAACGGTGGCAGAGGCGTCGCTGTGAGGATGTCACCAGGCGTCACTCGTACGCACTGCAGTCTCCGGTCACTTCAGGACGTCGCTGGTCGTCACCAGTCTTCACTGCTTTCGATGGACGTCTATGTGGCCTTGCTCGTACCTCGGAAGTTCAGTGGGCGTCTCTCCGGCTTCATTCGGGCATCGGTCGGCGTCGCTGCCAGGCGCAGACAGACCAGAACGCAGCATCAGACGCCGCCGTGCGCCACCGACCACCATGACGATCCTTTCCACACACACTTTTCCATATACGACACACAATTATAACAGCATGCAATAAAATAAACCAGACGATCAAATTCTAGCTTTGAATTTCAAAACGTAGCTAAAACGACTGTAGCTAAAGAACAAGCACAGCAGTTATGCACACTAACAAATTTATTCAGAAAGAAAGGAAGGGAGCGAGCACGATAAAAACATGCACTATTATTGATCTTTTTCATCTACGATCCCGTTTTCACCCCATATAAAACATGTTAATCAAATCTCAATCATTTTCCAAATTCATTTTTACTATTGAAGCCCGACTCCCGTTCAAATTGCTTATCCCGTTTGACCATCCCGCAGTGAATAGACTGTTTATCGCATCTCAAGCAGCTCCCGTCATCGTCAAAGCCACCCGTCTCGCCCCTGTCGCTAGCGTGGACACGCGGACAATGCAAACATCTCTTGGGAGTGTTTGACTCAGCAGCAAACACACACTGCATTCCATTCTATCGTGTCTCTGCCCGTTACGTCTCTACACCAGCTCTCAGCTCCCGGCGCGTGTACGGGTGACCGCCCGACCCCAGTCGCCAGCCACCGTGTGTGGTCCGTCAGGACGGCGGCACGCCACCGGGCCGGAACGGTGACCCCACTCCCTCCCATCTCGGTGGAAAGGGCGCGGTCCAGCCGGGCTGGGCTGAGAGCTCGTCTACTGTCTGCAGCTCCGAGTCCTTTGGACCTTGGCAGGTAGCATGGGACCGCAGATTGGCAGATATTAACTGCACGTGTCACGTCCAACCAATGGCTCACGAGTCACGACATAGTCACGCCATCAAGGAAAACCCGTCCGTGGGTACCACGCAGTGAGCACGGACAGGAAAACAACAGGAAATGTCTCAGCACGGGGGCCGTAGAAGTGTGGAAGTGGGGCCGGCCCGCGCCGCGGTAAGCCTAAAGTTTGCTCACCCATTCCGCTCAAACAAACACTACCGCCGAGAACAATATCAGTAGGGCCGTATCGGTTGAGACAACACCCACCCTACCGACGCTATCGACACTGGCAACCACTCCAGAGAGCACACTCCTCTGTGGTGCGATAACGCCGTCTCAGCCGGCTGCGGGCCACAATCGCACCCGGGGACGGGGGGAGGGGGGGGGGATCCGGCAAGCGACGCGTGCAACCCGGATGAACGGTGCGGAGGGGAGGGGAGCAATGGCCTCAGAATGGCTGTGGCAGTTCCGTGACTGGCGACTGTCGTGCACCGGAAGGGAGGCGATGTCACATTGAAGTTGTTTTCCAGAAGGGTGAGTGCGTGTCTGCAGGTGCCGACAGTTCCTTATTCTGGAGCGAGTATTCATGTATATTGTTGACTTAAAACATGCTCAGAATTCACACGAATGGTAGAAAAAATGTTTTGTTTGATAAACAATGCATAGTCCATACAAGCACTTTATAGCGGAAGCGATGAAACTATTTTTGAACACTGTAAGAAATCCGTCTTGATGGTAATCCTGCTTTATTCAGTACAGCTGCTTAAGCCAGGTCCAAATGCTTCTTTGCACACAATCCCCCAACCTTGCTGGTGATTAACATTTTTGACGAAAGTGACAAAAATGATTTAAAATAGGTACCTTACCTATTGCTATCCTGTACTAAAAAAGATTTGCCAAATTGTGAGTGGTAGGAAGCCGATTTCGCATGGGCTCGAAGGGTACAGAGGCCAGTTTTACCAACAGAAAAATAGCCGCCCGCCGGAATTTTTGCCTAAAGACCGCTTCACATACGGATCGTAAACGGTAAAGCCCTCTCCGCTTACGTGCCCAGCGCGTTTACGCTCCGTATGTGAAGCGGTCTTTAGGCAAAAAATTCCGGCAGGCGGCTATTTTTTTTTTTGTAAAACTGGCCTCTGGACCAGATTTCCGGTTAAAATCAGTCAGATACTGCGGCATCTGCCTCGGGGCCATCTACTGGTCAGAGCCCTGCCCAGTGCCCACGATTTGCAAGCAAAATTCCAGCACTGACGGCGGGCTGATGTCAACCAGAAGTGGGCCTGCAGGTCTTTAGCGACATTGTTGTCGCTCCACCTGCACCAGGTAGTTGTTAACACGCAAAAATGGTGATGGTGATGCTCCGGTAAGACCAGTGTCCCAAAATATATTTTGGATTGGGTGTCGGAGGGGAATATTCGTCACTACAAAGAGGGCTGAGAGTGGAAAATTGCCATTCAGGAAGGCACAAAAAGAGCGGAAAACAGAGATCAACAATTTATTTGTGAATGTTGGGGAGGGTGCAGGAGCTGCGTTATAGGATCATTAAATAGAATATAGAGGGAGGTAAAAGGTACACGCAGATGCTCCTGATTGGTAAAACAGGGAGTGAAAAATCGCTCTGGAAATTTGGAGGTGAGAGTGGAAAATTGTTTTGATTTGGGTGTCGCTTCCCACCCAAACTGGCAAATTCTGGGACACTGGGTAAGACAGGGCGCACTATACGCAAAAATGACACTGATGTTCATGATGATGCTTTGGAGAGATAGCTGACAGTGCGCACTAGCAACACAAAAATGACACTGGAACGCAGTCTGATGCCGTCTGTAAAGGCATCAGAATTACCATTCTGAACTGGTCTCATCTCAGATGTCCACAATCCGCGGACGGGGCTCACCGCCGGCGCTGCCTGGCCTCACGAAAGGTCACCGGTTCATCGGCACCCCAAAGCCGCCCTATATCAAACTAATGTAGTAAATCCGCAATCCGCCAAGCGAGCGGCACACCGTCGTCAATGCTAAGTAGCCTGAAAGCCGGAATCTGACAGAGCAGTGACATTTAGACCCGACAGCAGAAAACCGCAGACGGCTCTCAGCTCAAGTGCACCGTTATGGCATTAATGATATCTCATGGCAAACTGCGATGTAAAAATATAAAACCCACAAGGTCTCACAGCAACAGAGCGACGTTTGACGGATTCTTCGTTAAAAATTTTAAAGTTAGGTGGTGTCGGGAATCTCATCGATCGCAGACGGCGGGACAAGGAACCGGGGCTCTGCAGTGGTCAGCTGGCACTAACCTGCACCAGTTTGGTGAGCACCATGGCTGAAAGTCGGGGGTCGACTCCGGTCACGGACTCAGGTCAGGAGCGTTGAAATCACTGAGTCACTGAAACAAAACAGAACACGGTCAGAACTCCAGGAACTAAAGCACCAGGAACTAAATGTTCGTGTGTTTCGTGGTCGTTCACTCTGATCCAGCATGGCCAACCAAAGTGTTCGTGTAATCGTCAAGTTCACTTATAATTGCGTATCTAATCAAATCGTTACATCAACCGGAGGACCAAAAGAGTTCTTTAATGAATGTCAATTCCTTGATTATTCGTCACACAATACACGTCAACCGCATCGTACGACGCCGGCGGAGCCGCGCCGTCATCGTCGTTTCGCCGCGAACTGCCAAGCCGGCCGGCCCGGCGCGTTGGGGCCGGTCAGCACACATATGTGCTCCAGATGACCCTGTGGGCCCTTGAGGACCACGTGGATGGTGAGGCTCGGCTGTGTCCGCCGCGCGCTGCCGTCGCTGTACGGCACGGTACGTTTTCTCTCGAACAAGTAAAGCCCACAATGACCACATCTAATGAACTACATACAGAGCCCATCATATCCTTCATTCACTCATATATTTTGTACCACACCGCGCAAAACACAGCCCATCCCACGCCCAGGACAATCAGACGCGGTGCACCATCACGACACGGCACCTGAATCGACCCGTACCAGCGGCGACTGGTGCCGGTACCGGACGGTCACCGCAGACGGGCACCGGCACCGCGAGACCCCACCTGAACCCCAGCCGGGCCGGACTGTACTAATCGCAATCACCCGGCTGTCCGGCCTACGGCACTCCGGTGATCGGGAGAGGGCCAAGAAAGGTGCGTGCCTCCGCCGTAAGCATATAGTTAGTGAGCTTTGTGTATTAAGTAGCCCTTGTTTGTTCATTGTCCGAAAAGGATGCTCGTCACAATACTGACTGAATATAAAAACCCCTCGACACGCCGTTGTTTCCACCCTTTCCACCCACCGAGACCTCTGTGCATTGTCGCCGTATCGGGAAATCCGGAAAAAGGTCGCTGGAAAATCTGGCAACACCGTCACGGAAAACGACCAAGACCCACACAATCACAGCATTGGAACGTGGAAAGTGACACAGACTTGCCACAGAGCGCCAACGGTCTAAAAGCAGTTATCCCTAAAGCTCACGACGGGAAAGTTTTCGCGCAAGGCCTGCCGCCGAGGTGGTTGGCATTCAATCGCAGGCAAACGAGACGCTGGGCGGTAACGACTTCCGAATAGGGACTAATGTCACGCTGATTGACTATCGAACGGGCTCCGCCCCGCCAGCAATCGCGAGAGCGAGTCCTGGAAACGAATCGAGCGAGCCGTCGGTGCAGCACCACCCGCTGCCCCCCCAGGGACACAGGGGTGATAATAGGGGCCAGTTGGTGCAGCTGAGTCATCAGTCGTCTGCCAATTAGCTAAGGCTAGGAGAGGAACTGGAACAGAGTTAATCAGTTTGTAGAAAGACCGGATAAAATGAGGGACACTGAGAAAGGACAGAAAAAGAGAGTGAGCAGCGAAAGGTTTCATTCACAGACCCTCCCTGGTCAGTCATTTGATGAGATCTTCAACAGAGGCTTCCCTTTAGCCCAACACAGACGTCGGAACCAGCCGGTGCGCCGTGACAGCCACAGACATTACTGAGGCAGCTAGTAGCACTTCCCAGTCACCAGCCGTGCAGTCGACTCTCAGAAAACGCGAACAAAGCCGCCTCGGCCTCCCAACAGGACCAGTGACGTCACGCCTGATGAACCAGTGATGTCATCACGGCCCGAGAGCCGACTGGAATGAACTGGTGTGCAGTGAGCTCCTTGACTGAACCGACTGACACTCAGGACAGATAAGTTCTGATGAAAACATCGCCGCTACCGCAGTGTCAGTGTCGGCATTGGTGGTTACCGAAGGAAGATGCAAGTAAAGGGCGAAGAGATGAACCAGAGGGAAAGGGTGAATGACAGGGTGGGAGAGAGAGCGAGAGAGAGAGAGAGAGAGAGAGAGAGAGAGAGAGAGAGAGAGAGAGAGAGAGAGAGAGAGAGAGAGAGAGAGAGAGAGAGAGAGAGAGAGAGAGAGAGAGAGAGAGAGAGAGAGAGAGAGAGAGAGAGAGAGAGAGAGAGAGAGAGAGAGAGAGAGAGAGAGAGAGAGAGAGAGAGAAATCTCCCTACCAGCCAGAAGACGACGAAAAGGGAAAGACAGACAAGGGAGAGGGTAAAAGAGCGGAGAGCAGGCAGCCCAATAGTCGTGCCGCAGAAGAAGAGACATGGTCAGGGCGTGGCTGCAGACGGCCGCGACACCGGCCAATCGCCGTCATTGTCCGTCTTCCATGAACTGCCGACGCTAGCAGCGACGTCTGACGTCTGATAGTATCCCGCACTGTCCAAATACGCACCGTTTGGCGCCTGCAGAAACGCGGCACCAGTAGATATTGCAGTGTCGGAGCACAAATGTCTCGAAAAGGCAGGAACAGAGTTGAGTAGAGCCCGTTGCCCAGGCCCCGTTCCCTGTCGTCCGACAAAGCAATGTCAGGTAATCGGGAACATTGGAATGTTGAAGTTTAGATTGGTTATCAAAACCGGACATGGTGTGCCCTTCTCACTGACTTCAACTGGCAGCGACTGCTCCCATTTACCGCAGACCCCGGCAAAAGTATCATACATCGGTAGCCGGAGCGACTCGAAACGGTACTCTCGACGCTCTCACCACCGGGAGTAAAAACTTTACTGACTGAGCCTTGGAGCGTCAGCGGACAAAGACCACTGAGACCAAGACAAAAACCAAAGCACAAGACATTGCCTGGAAACATCTACCTACAGATCAACGGATCACTGCAGCCTGCAGAAATATGGGAAAACACCTCTGAGCACGACATGACACCGCCTTCCCGCCATCAGCCCGTGACCTTCAACTGCAGGAGATAGCGGCGCGGGAAATCCAGCTCGGCTCCAACCAGTCGGTACGGGCTTGGTACAGGGATATCTGGCCAGGACACGAACAATGCACGTCCACAGAGACGGGGTCTGTCTCTGCGCTGGAAACGGATCTATGAACAACATGGTGGGCTGATCAAGGACAGCAACCGACAGCGGCAACAGCCAGCGGTTAACAGGCAAGATGAAACAACGCGGCTTTCTTGACAGACATTCTGTGGAACTGGAATAGAAACATCATTTTTGGGTAGATCAGACATAACTTTTACCAGATACAAAAGTTAGGTGGATGAAACTTGCATGCATATTGATAGCACCATGAATTCCGAAGCGCGAGGCTTATTGCCACGGGTTTACCATGATTCGCGGATAGTTAGGCAGCATGCATACTGCACTCTGCAGACGACCAACCACTGTGAATTTGACCTGATCTTGACCACAGAAGCACGCTACTGCAGCAGCCCACTAGTTTTCACGGCTCAGGAGGCTCTGGCTAGTACAAACAACACAACAGCTAGTCACCGGTAAACAAAGGCGCTGGCCAGCCGCGCGGTGGTCAGCTGACGGTGGGGCCTTCGACCGGGGAGGAGCCAACGTCAGGTATTGCGGTTCAACGCGAACAGTCACCGACTACAGGAGAGGGCGGCTGAGTTTCCCAGGCAATCCTAGACAGTCGGCCAGTCCTCACAGTGTTTCTCTGTGCAGATGGTCCACACAGTGTTCATTTAGGCGCCCGGTACATCTCTCACAGCGCCCATCTACGCAGCCGGTCCTTCTCAAAGCGTCTCTCTGGACAGTGGACACCCAGTCTCAACGGTACGGCACAGAGAGCCGGCGTCTGAGAGCCGCTCACCGGGCCAAGGTCACCCGGAGTGGCCCAACGGCGCCGCGAGAGTGCAGATCAGCCGCCCAACGGCGCCATGAAGAGCGCTGATCGGCGGCCACAACGGCGCCGCCGCTGTCCAAACAACCTCCTGGCGCGACAGCAGGCACCGCCCGACCCCGCGGGAGCCAGGGGCGCTGGTCCACACTGCTGCAGCGCCTCGGGCCGGGTCAAACTACTATGGCCACGTCAGAGTATCTCGCCATGAAATATTTGAAAGTACCCAGCCCTTATTCCTTAATTCAACAATACCAGTCATCACAGGTCGATCAGGCCACCTCGTGGTCCCGCGATCCCAGGACTATCCCAATAAAACAGCATATGCATCAATATCACCGATACCCTTATCCGTAGTTCGCTATCTATGCAAACCAGAACGAAAATGTCTTTTCGGGCAAGCTGCGACACGGCAGACCTCCCCTAGGCGTGTCGTTCCCTCGCAACGGTTCAAATTCAGACACGCGATTCGGCGCATCCTGCTATCATTTGAGCTCATCAGCACACGGTCTCGGCACCGGCACGCACTCTGGGGGTGGGGTGGCAGTGGGGGAGGCTGGGGAGTGACCCAATTGAAACTGAGGGACACAACACGCACGCTCAGCTCGCAGGCGCCGGGTCACGGCACAGAGCTCGACCGGCCGCCACCGAGCGTGTCCCGATCCCACCAGATAAACAACACAGTGAGGCAGGGAGGGCCTGTCACTCGGCACTCACCCGTATATCTAACGGTCGGTCAGCCGGCTGTCGTGCCTCACACACTATCTCAGCACTAAGTGGACCGCTCACACACCGTGGTATCACACACCGCCGTACCCGGACCGTCCTCTGTCGCCGTAACGTTGGATCCAGCGCGCACACCACGGAGACACTCTCACGACGCCGTCAGAGGCCCGACTGACTGCCAGCCACGCTGCCAGTCACGCCTCGAACGGCGGGCGACGGCGGCGGCGGCGCGGGGAGAGGGGGGGGGGGGGGTAAGATAGGCCACGGCGGCGGCGGCCACGCCCACAGCCTGCTGCGCCACGCAGCTGTGTTGTTGTAAGTAACCCGGACGTTTCTAATGCCGCCGAGTATCAACAATACGCTCACATTCCATGTGTTACGCTTAGCAGATCGGCCAGTCGCCTTTAGAGGATATCTTACGAATGGTGCGTCATTTTCTTCGCTCATTCACTTCAAAAGTACCTAGATTTCGACAACAGGTTCAAAGCGGAACATGGCAACTGCATGACACTTGACAGGACATGAGCACCGAATCTGCCCCTCATGCTTTTTTTTTTGTTTCGCCCCTAACCCCCAACAAACCCCCCCCCCAAAAAAAAATGCATGAGGGGCAGATTCGGTGCTCATGTCCTGTCAAGTGTCATGCAGTTGCCATGTCCCGCTTTGAACCTGTTGTCGAAATCTAGTTTTTGCAATATATCTGTTACAGGGAGTATGCGATTTCAGTTAGTTTGCAACGACCCTAGGGTGGTTGTAACCTCCCTGAACGATCAGTTTGTTTGCAACGACCCTAGGGACGTTACAAAATAACTGCTCGTTCCGGGACGTTGTAACGAAACTAGGGTCGTTGCAACCTCCCTAGTTAGTATGCAACGAACCTAGGGTTGTTACAAAATAACTAGGGAGTTTAAGAATTCATCGAGTCTTGTTTCACAGGAGGGCCGTCAACAATCTTGACCAATGAAAATCTTGTTCAATCTACATAGTTCAGTTTAAAAGAAAAGGAGAACAAAATTTGAACATTCAGCCAAGGAGTATATGTGGTGCCCGGGACAAAGCACGTAACTGTGATAATTTTGGCTGCATTATATCGCCAGCATATGCTTACATGTAGAAAATATAGTTACTGGGGTAGGTGTGATGGATATCCGTCGCTATCCGTTTGCGGGTTATCCCTCACACTTTTAGGGGTGCGGGTCGGATAAAACCCCTCGTTTTATTTCGCGATTATCTCACGCTAAAAGTGGCCGATCGTGACGAAACTTTGAGTGTCCTCGAACTTATCTACGTTACTGGTTACACATTCCCTATACAGTTCATGATCCTGAAACCAATGGCATTTGATCTTTGATCTGATTTCTGAGACCATGGCAGACCGAAATTATTTGCCATATATGTTGGCGCACATAAAATTGCGTTCCGGACTTCTATTGTGATTACATATAAACGTGCCAACATGTGAACTGATGGTTGTCCCATGCATCATGATGGGTTTCAAGTTGAATTGTCAGTTGTCGGCCAGGTCAAGGTCATTGACGTTTGGTGATTTCGGGTGACTGTTTCAAATTTTACGATTTTAAGGGATTTTTTTAAGCTTATTTTGAATCCAGCATTCGTTGAGACATTTGAGAAGTACGTAGGTATAGTTGTAACGACAATGCAACTTGCTACGAAGCTGTCGCTGGTGGTTTAGGTACACCTGCTAATATAAACAGGTTGTGCGGGTGGGACGCTTCTACTTGACCCAAACTTACCCAACCCAGCCTGACTTTATCCTCGCCCCCCCAAGTTTTTTTTTCGCGATAGCTCCGAACACGCCAGCAACAGAGAGCTGAAACTACGCATACCTGACCTTTGATTCAAGCCAGATCTCGTGATATCAACCAGATTTTCAGGTCAGGTCAGGTTACTGACCTATGACGTCATAAGTGGACGGTCCTCAGATGCCGCAACTTCGCAACGCCCTCAGTCCCAGAGGAGTTTTTACAGGGTGATGAAGCTTACAGTACGTGCATCTTCTAGAAGTATCACATTGTACCTCTAGGATTTTTCCTAAAGATCACATGAGGTCAGGTCGGTCACGTGACCTCACCACTAAAAGTCCATTGAGAAAAATGAAAACTGCTATTCTGGCGCCGGGAACGATCTCAAACTATCTCAAGCACACGGATCGTGATTTAGTGCACTCCTTGCAAGGTTAGATGCTTCAATTTTGCATTGTTGACGTTGCATGACGTCATTTATGACGTCACTAGGGTCATACGAGCTTTTCGTCAATAACTCCCGATCAAACTGAGCTAGCGAGACGGTTAACCTTCGCCCCAGTGGGGGGGGGGGGGGCATATGTTACCACCCTGTCACGTTTTTTGCGTGTGAATAAAAAACCGCGGCGCGTAGCGCCGCGCCGCTTGGGGTAGCTTTTGGTACATCAATTTTGGACAATGTGTGAAATTTTTACCCCAGGTCATGTCAGGTCAGGTCACCAGGTCAAGTTAACTGACCAAGCCTAAAAAAAGTTTGCAATCGTGTCCAGCCTGCAGTGTATGTCAGAAAGTTTTTAAACTTGGTGGATTGCATGCTGTTATGGGCGCCTACAATTTGTATATCTCGGATTTTCTATATCCGTGACCTGAGGTCAGGTCAGTGGCGTGGCCTTTCCATTACAAGTCAATGGAGAAAAATGAAAATGCCTCTAGATCCGTGTGTACGCATAGGAACAGTCCAAATATTTCAGAATCACAGTGATTTGGACCACCCGTGATGACCTAGGTGTCATTTTTGCTCATAGCCTCTAGAAAGGTCATCCGAGGTCATTTGAGGCTACAAACAGATTTTTGCCAATAACTCGCGATTGGAAAGAGATAGAACGCTGGGGATGGTCTCATTATGTTTGTCTTGTTGAGACGCATCGACTGATATGCAACATGACCTTTTCCGGTCAGGTCATGACCTTGACCTGAGGTCAAATTTTCAAGTTGACCTTTCAAGGTCAAATTATAGTTCATTCGACGCGTCTTGGCAAGCGGAACACGATTCTGGCAATAGAAATGTCGTGGCTTTTTGTAGTCGAAAGTTATTGTCGAAAAACACTTTTCGTAAAAACAGCTATTTTTGGAGTTTTTGCCCTCTGGAGGCTAAACCGTTGACCTGAGGTCAACTTTGATGATGACATTATCAAAAGAAGAGTTCAAGAGCTATCGATTGCTGTTCCATGCGTTTTTCTAGCTACCATAGTTCCTGAGATAACGCCATGTTTTCTGAAAAATATAATGACAATTGGCAATTTTTGACCTTTGATGACCTCTGGTGACCCCAATATTGCTCTGAGATGAAAAATGACTGAAATACTTTCAAACGTACGTATTGAGAGCTATCGACTGCTTTTTACCGCGTCTTTCTAGCCCTCTTAGTTTTTGAGTTAGAGGTGGGTGGTAACATATGCCCCCCCTCACTAGGGCGAAGTTGGCTGAGACTGCCACTGGGGCGCGGGTTAAGCCACCGATGGACACAGGAAGACCTGCCGAATCGAATAATATGCAACATGACCTCTTTTGACCAATTTCGCGACCTAGGGGTCTTTGACCTGACCTTGACCCGAGGTCAACACCTCAAGTTGACCTCACCCGAACAAAAAGTATACCATTCGATGTGCGTAAGCAAGGCGAGCACGTTGATGCTAAAATCGCGCTCAGCGACTGTTTTTTAAGAAGTTATTAATCAAAAACCGAACCCGTGTCTTGGGTCACTTGACCTGACGGTCACCGGTTGACCTGAGACCTTAAACTCGGGTATTAGTTGCTGTGTCTCCTAACGGCACACACGCTCGTTTTTTCCGCGACGCTCTAACTCCATCAGGGGTGAAAAACGACGAGAGGGTCGTACCAACCCTCCCCCCGGCCGGCGCGTATGTAGAAAACCAGGTCCTGCGGTGTTAACTCTCGCCCTTATTGGTGTTTTGCTAGCCGCAAACGCCCAGGGCGGGGATAGGTTATGGGTTGACGTTCCAGGTCAGGTCAGTGACTCAAAAGTCGGAAAAATCGGGACCTGTTAAAACTTTGGAGAGTTAAGTTGTTACGAGTTTTTTTCGGGGCGCTGATCACGAATTTCATATTAGCTTTGATCACCGATGATGTCTTGATGTTTTTAGGCCAGGTCGGGTCAGGTCAGGTCAGGTCAACCAGTAGGTGTCTTGCTAGCTGTCCATAGTAGGTGTCAATCATCACTGGCAGCTTCGTGACATGGTACGAAGGCGCAAAAATTACTTCTTTAATGTTCAAATGAATGCTAAATTCGAAATCAGCTCCAAAAACTAGCCTAAAAATATATGAACCCAGAAAAAGTGAACTAAGGTCATCAAAGGTCAATGACATTGACCTGACCTTCACGTGACCTTGACAGCCATCATAATGCATGGGACCACCATCATTTCACATGTTTGAACGTTTATAATCACAAAAAGACTGGAAACGAGCGGATAATGGCCGGTTTACGAAGGGCTTCCTGGCGAATGTCCATCTAATTTGCACAAAACTGCACCAACTGTGCACCTAATCTGCACAAAATGTGCACTAGATGGCCGTCGTGAAATACTCCTAAGCTGAATGTTTAAATTTTGTTCTCTTTTTCTTTTAGACTGAACTAGATTAGATTGAACAAGATTTTCATTGGTCAAGATTGTTGACAGCCCTCCTGTGAAACGAGACTCGATGAATTCTTAAACTCCCTAGTTATTTTGTAACAACCCTAGGTTCGTTGCATACTAACTAGGGAGGTTGCAACGACCCTAGTTTCGTTACAACGTCCCGGAACGAGCAGTTATTTTGTAACGTCCCTAGGGTCGTTGCAAACAAACTGATCGTTCAGGGAGGTTACAACCACCCTAGGGTCGTTGCAAACTAACTGAAATCGCATACTCCCTGTAACATATCTAAAACACGCATATCAGTTCCTTCCTTGTCGCAGGCTTCGCAGCCCGCCGGTCAGTCGTCCCAATTAGATAGCAAGTCCACTGCCCCAGCCCACCGGTCCCCGACCCTGCCCGACGGGCACTGGGATTCAGTTGGCGGCTCGATGATGGCTGGAGAGTGGAGAGCCAACCATGAATTAGGTATTCCTGGATGGGACACTCCGCCGATTTTCCGACCACGCACGACGACGAGGGCGTAGGCGCCATTTAGCATTGCGTGCTATGGGCGGAGCGTGTCTTA